GAAGAACACGACATTCTTACAGAACAACAAAAAGGTTGCCGTAGAAATCACAGGGGATGCAAACAACAGTTACTCATAGATTCAGTCATTCTATGGCAAGCACACAACAACACAGAAACATACACATGGCATGTATATACTACAGAAAAGCATTAGACAGTGTTCCACACAGTTGGCTGCTACATATTCTACACATGTACAAAATACATCCATCATTCATTGCATTCTTCCAAAATACTATGCAGCACTGCAGAACAACACTACATCTCAGGGTTATTAACACTTCCATACAAACAAACCAAATATTCATTAGACTAGGAATTTTTCAAGGAGATTCCTTGAGTCTTCTCTGGTTCTGCCTAGCCCTGAATCCATTATCCATCATGTTAAACAACACGCAATATGGCTACAATATCAGACATGAAAAAACAACACAGTTTACGCTGTTACATCATATGTACATGGACAACAAAACTTTATGCATCCACACAAAAACAACTTCAGCAACTCCTACAAATCACACATTCATACACCAAGGACATACAAATGGAGTTTGGCTTAGACAAATGCAAAACACTTCACATAGAAAAAGGAATCCTGAAGAAAGAAGATTTTGCACTTGGAAATGGAGACATTATTGAATCCATGGAAGAGGGCGAGTTCTACGAGTATTTAGGATTCCAACAGGCCAAACTAACAGAACATACACAAATAAAGCAACGATTAATTAAAGAACACCAAAGTAGGTTAAACGCTATACTTAGAACACAGTTAAATGCAAAATACACAGTTAAAGCAATAAACACATATGTCATCCCAGTACTCACATACTCTTTTGGAGTTATACATTGGACTCACACGGATCTCGAGCAACTCCAAAGGAAAAACAAGAACAACACTTATTAAGCATAAACAACATCATCCTAAATCCGCCACAGAAAGATTAACCCTTCCACGTAAAGAAGGCGGACGTGGCCTGATTGACATAGTTAACCTTCACTACAAACACAGTCACTGCGAGAGTTTTTCTACAAGAAACATCACAGTTATATAAAGCAGTAACTCTAGCAGACTCAAATAACACACCATTAAACTTACACTCACATCATACAGACATGATCCAACATATAAAAAGCATAGACATCATTAAGCAATCGTGGGCTTGAAAGGCACTCCATGGCAGGCATCCTTATGACCTGGCCCAGGAGTTTGTTGACAAAACTGCGTCAAACAGCTGGTTAGATCGGGGATGCCTCTTTGGGGAGATGGAAGGATTCATGATTGCCATACAGGATTAGGTCAAACACCAAAAACTACAAAAAACACATACTCAAAGATACAACACTCACAAATGACACATGCAGAAAATGTCACATCATGCCAGAAACTATACAACACATTACATCTCTGGTTGCAAGCTCTTGGCACAGACAGATTACTTACATAGACACAATCAAGTAGCAAATATAATACACCAAGAGCTTGCAAAGAAACACAAATTGGCAGACATCCACGAACCATACTACAAGTATATTCCACAGACAGTATTGGAAAATAACACGCACAAAATGTATTACGACAGAGCCATAATCACAGATAAAACAATTTACCACAACAGACCAGACATCACACTCATTGACAAACACAATAAAATCACATACATTATAGACATAGCCATTCCAAACACTCACAATGTACAAAACACATGCACTGAAAAAATTAGCAAGTACACAGAACTCGCCCAGGAAATAAGGCATCTGTGGAGGATGGATAGGGTGCTTATTGTACCTGTTGTTCTCTCCTGTACAGGTGTGATACCACACACACTACACAAAAGGGAACATTACTATTGAATAGAAATACATACATCACACTACAGAAGGCTACTGTATTGAATACATGCCACATTGTTAGGAAATTCCTGAATACAGACACTGACACACTTATTTAATTTTAGTTTTTGGTTGCTATGCCTTGACTCTGGTCCGGCATAGTACTCAGCCACCGGTATGAACCGAGTAACCCACTAAACCCAACACAATAATAATAATAATGATAATAGGTTAGTAACATTATATAATTCTATTAATAGTATCATATCATACGTATTTTAGGGTAATAACATTTTGGTGTACCGTGTTAAATGGATGTGTTGCAAGTAGAAAAAGGTTGCAGAACACTGATCCAGAGAACATTCCAAATTTTCATCTTGAATACATACTAATGGATTTCTAATTCGTAACTAAAAAAAAAACCCCTAATCTATTTAAAAGTAAGTTTATTTTGTACACAAAAAGAAATTACAACTGTAATTATCATTACAAAAGGGTGTATAAATATTGATGCCTGAAAAATGCAAGGTACAGAAATTAAAAATATTCCAACTTGTCCCTATTGAGTTTTATAATCAAACCATACTTATAGATGCATAAAACGTATATAGCTTACATAAATAGCAAATGACGGTTAATGTCTAGATACGTAAACCGTCATGGCGACTCATCTCTGATTCCAGCAAACAAAAGAAAGGAAACAGTGGGGACGCACGTTCTAACATAATTTAACCTAACCTATTCTATTCTAATAATTTGATTGTTAATAATTATGCTAATTTATTAGAATAGGTTAGGTTAGGTTAGAACGTGCGTCCCCACTGTTTCCTTGAATCAGAGATGAGCCGCCATGACGGAATACGTATCTAGACATTAACCCAAATGACAATAAGATATATTTTCATTTGCTAATTATGTGTATATATTCTTATTGTGCATACATAATTTGAAATATATTTTAGAAATTTAGTAAAGCTCAGATTACATCGTAAATTTTAATAATTAAACAAAAATATAAGAAGCATTTATTATGACATGTTGACATTATAGACTTACCTGTAAGAGCAAAGCATTCTTCCTTCCAATACCTGGAATCATAGATCCTAGATCTAATGATCTTCTCTATAAGATACTGAGGATTCGTTCCTCTTATGGAGTGAGCATCTTTCACCGTTCTGTTTGCCATTTCCCCCCGTTATCTTCTTCTTAAAAGTGTTTATATGGAGAATTAAGCACAATAATGGCTCTCTCTCCGACACATCACCTGTCCGTTCCTCTACTTAAATCGCCTTGTTCTTCTTCTTACTAATGTGGGAAGTTGAACGCCTGCTTCGTAGCGTCCCGCCGACGTATATTTGTGGCTGGCCGTCCTCTAGCGGTGAGGACAGGCATTAACGAGTAGGTGATTATTGTCGGTAGCGGAGGTGGCGCCCGCTAGTAGCGGAACATTTTACAATACTCTTTGAAGTAGGTGATCAAGGCCTCCTGACAGGAGGCGGGAGGAGAGAGGTTGAGGTAATTGGAGATCTTGGCGTTAGTTGGTGTGTTGATAAGATAATCGTTTAGAATTTTTTTCCGGATCTTGTCAAAATTGGGGAAGTAGTCGAGGCGGTGCAAGGATGTGTCGATTTGATCGGGACATGTGCTGCATTTATCAGTTTTTTGGATTTTCCGGGTGAAGAGGAAGTGGTTGGTAAGAAGCGAGTTAGTCCTGGCGCAGTTGACAAGGACGTTTATGCTTCGATCGGTGATTGAGGGAATGGTGATGTGAGAATAGTCGTGAAGCCAGGGGAAATTGGAGTGGTTATGATAGTTGTTCCAGGCGTCTTCCATGATCTGCTGGTGATCGAGGAGCAGAACCCCGTGGAGGTCTTCAGGTGTGATGAAGTTGGAGTTCACAGAAGTTGGCGGCTTACTTTTAGTGAGGGCGTCCGCTTTTTCGTTGATATCGATGCCAAGATGGGCCGGAGTCCAAACAAGGTGTAGGTGTTTGCCTTGGCAGTAGTGGGTGTGGAGGCGTTCGTGAATGCTATGAATGATGGTAGGGGAGTTGGCATTATAATTAGCCAAGGCAGTGAGGATCGATTTAGAGTCTGTGCAGATGACGGCGTTGTTACACGAGGTAGTAGAAGCATAGGAGATTGCCTGCAGGATGGCGTAGCCCTCGGCCGTGAAGATAGAGGCTTCAGGGTGGAGGGTGTAGTGGGCCGTAACGTTGTGAGTATCGTCGACGTACGCAGCTGAGACTCTGTGGGATGATTTGGACCCGTCAGTGGCAATGAAGGTATGGGAAGACTGATGGAGGCGCCAGATCCCAAACAACAGATGGATGCTGTCGTTAGGGTTGCTTGTGCACTGGAAGTCGTAGTCATCGAGTGAAATATGGTGGAGGGTGTGAAGACGCAAGTTGTGCGAGGGGAGGTTGTCGGGCGAGATAATGATGTTGTGGCGAGAGATCCAGTTGCGGGTGAAATGGTTGAGCGGAAGCTTAACCAGGGCAGCACCATCCGGGTGATGGATATGGTGAAGGATCTCGTGGAAGAGACGGTCATCGTTCGCTTTTTTAGGTACGTGCTGTACTGGTTAATGATGATCTTAGTGTTTAGTGCCTACTGTTTTCCGATTCTGGGTTTTATAAGTACTGTATTCACCTAAATTAAACAGCGTATGGTAGAAGCTGTCCAGAACGGAACCCGAATAAAAAGGATACCAGCTTAAATGAAAACATTCTTTGGAACAGGGCGATTTTCAATGTTAAAAAACATGCTTGTTTAAAACCTGGTGAACCGAAAAAAATACTCATTACTCTGCGATTTTTGTTTGCACAAATTTTACTGTATAATTTATTTGGCCCATGAAAAAAGAGTTGGAAGAAATGTTAATAGAAGTCGCCATATGCAATACACATTTATAAGCAGTAGCAACATCAATATTATCATTTAAACTATAATCCACAACCACAGAGAACTTATTGTATAGTAAAATACAGGTAGGCCTCCTACAACGCGGTACCTTTACAACGCGTTTTCGCTCCAACGCGGTTGGAAAAATGCGGAAATTTTCTTACAACACGGTTTACGGTATTTAGAAACGAATTATCTTCACATAACAGAAAAATCGCAACGGATCACGTGATACGAGCCGCAGTTCGGCATACAGAGCTAAAAGTCTTTGAAAACAGCTGTTTGTACGTTGGCATGTTATTCCCTTGAAAGTTTCAGGGGAAGACTGGTTTCTAGACAGATGTGCATCAGTTACCGTAAACACTCAAATATATCACTAAATTTTCGATCATTTATACTCTTTCAATAGGTGGGGACCGTAAAATGGTCCAATATACAGTATAAACTTCTATTGGGTGTATATTTTTAACAACACAGTGAAATGAAGTTATTTTTTGCGATTTTTACCGTCCACAAAACTGATTGAAAAAATTTTAGCCATAACAATGCCGAATGAAAAGAAAGGACCGTCGTTACAAAGGAAATTTATAATTCTTCAAAGATAGAAATTTTGGATCAAATTAAAAATCAAGATCGGATAGCTGATATCGGTAGGCATTTTAATTTAAATGAGTCGACGATTCGGTCTAGAGAAAAGATCAGAAATTTGGTCTCATCCAGATCATCTATTCTTGCGAAAAATGTTGCTCGTCCGAGAGCAACTATAATGGAAAAAATGGAACAATCGTTAATATTGTGGGTAGAAGATATGAACAAGAAACTGTTGCCTTTAAATAAAACTGCACTTAAACACAAAGCCTTAAAAATATTTGATTATTTAAAACAAATGGGACAGTCGTCAGCTGATGAAACCAGTGGCTACCAATGGCTGGTTTGAAAAATTCAAAAAACGCCGTTCAAACGCCAAGTTTTTCTCTTTTTAGAACCGAATCCCAGTTTTTGTATTAAGTCGGTGTCTCCTATAACGCGATTTCCCACAACGCGGTATTTTCAAGGAACGTATCTGCCGCGTTGTAGGAGGGCTACCTATGTATCATGTGAAATTCGAAGTGCATATAATTTCATAAAAGAAAGTAACCCTTTAAAATTTTAATAAATTTAAATAAAAATTCCTTTAACTAAAGTAGTTTGGACCTACAAAAACGAAATATAAAGTGCATGAGAAATTTATAACTCTTTCGGTTTAACTATAAACATTCTCACGATCAAACCGTGCATAGTTTACACTTACAGGCAAAATTCGTCATATTGTTGTCATTCGATCACCACCTTTAACCTCACACCTGCTAAAACAAATGGTCACCTGACGAATTTTCCCACCGAAAAAGGTATAAAAGCCCGACACGGGGGAATCGCCGAACGTCGAAGTCAGACATCGCCTTCTCCATCGCAGACCTACACTTGTGTCACCGATCAGAATCCATAAAGGACGACATTACGGGAAAATATCCTACTAGTATATGTAAAGAGGTATGAACGCTTGTTATTGTAAACTCTCTCTCTTATCCGCAAAATCTAAGGAGTTTTGTAAGATTTTATTTATTTAGTTAGTTTAATAAACTCTTGTTTTGTTTTTTAAATGGTGTCGTTACTCGACTTTGCCAACGTCTTATCGTCGACCCCTCCGACTCTCCTCCACTCGCGTAACGCGTAACTGAACGAAACGCCATCCTTGACAAGAAAGTAGGTCATCCGACCTGTGGCCGGAAGGAGAGGACTTCCCAACCTCCCCGGCGCTCACAAATTGGTGTCACGGGAGTGGGGTTTGAATCTAAAAATCCCTAGAAACATCACAATCACATGAAGGCGCACAGTGGAAAGTGCTCATATCTAACGATCGAGATTGAACTGTGATTGAAATTAATAAATATTTATAAAATATAAGATTTGTGTTATTGTCCTTATTTTTCATTTATGTCTTTTAGAATAGATTATTAACGTTTGACTTGGCTAAACAGAATTGATATTTGTGCAGAAGGAAATAAGACTTTTAGAATAAGGCCTGGAGCATATCGTAAAGTAAATGTTACTTGTGGCAAATTCGGCTCGCTGCTCTAGCGATTAGCAGAAACGAAGTAGTAACATTGTCACTCCTATAGGCAAGCGACCCGAACAATTTGGTCAAGTCACATGATATTTTGTGTACAATCTAAATCATATTCGTTTTCACTTAATGCTACTATAGTAATAAAGCCGATTACTTCATCATCTCTGTATTCATCTACACATTTCAGAAATCTTTCAAATTTTATGCTATCGTATCGTAGTAAATCAACAAAGGTATTTCTCATTATTCAATGATGAATAACAAAATCTAATAATGACAACAAAATCGTACCGAATAGTTTTGGCGCTCGTCATTCAACATTAATTACAAAAAGTTCTTTAAATATTTAAATCTACAGACTTATTTTGGAGCTCTTAAAGTCGGTGCCCGGGCATGTGCCCTTCCTTGCCTCATTCAGTTACGTTTCTGAATATCAGCACAAAAAATTGCAGGAGCATTTTTATAATTCTCTCGCAAATATTCGTTTTTGGGCGATGCTATATTAGACCAAATGCTCTAATATAGAATCGCCAAAATAATATAGCATAGAATGTCTTTTTTCATTTTCATTCGGGGGTTTGCGCCCACCACTGGCCAAACGGATAAAACTATTGAACACTGGAACTTTTCTTTTTACTCTTTCCGCCCTGTGGGCACTAAGAGAGCCTCTTAAAGCAGGGACATTATGGGTTCGTCCAGGCCCACAATGGGGCGACCGGGTGGTGAGGGATGGGGGTCCGACATATCCGAACGGACCACCCACCGAAAAATTCCTGGGGATTCCTTGACCCATCTAGTTTCGATCTCGAGTCACTCAGAGCGGTAAGCTACCACCTTGACCGGCCTCTGATCTGAACACTTGAACTAGAACTATTCTGGATGTTGTATCGAATAGTACAATTTTCAAGTTTTTGTGTTCTGGTTAAAATGTCCTCATTTGGTGGATTTTTGACGCGAATGTGTAGGCCTATATATGTTGAGAATTTTATTGTAAAATTAATGATGTGTGTGCATATGCCTGAAAATCTTAAACAAGCTTGGTGAAGCCGATCTGATAGCACGCTCCACAAAAGCGAATCAAATATTAATTTTGTTTAAAATAAATTTTATAAATTTTTGGAATCAAGTAGTTGTTCAGAAGAATTTTCCACTGAATATGCAGTAAGGGATTATAGATTCCACAGGAACCGCGTAGTTTTTACTATAGCTTACAGTGACTGTAAACGAAAACATCTAGTTTTCTTTTGCGCGTGCGCGTGAATATGCGCAATGAATGGATTGAACGGAACACAACGCCTGACAGACACACAAAAGTCTTAACATAAGCACTTCCCTACTATAGTGGAACGTGCTAAAGAGCCAGTGACGTAGCGTGGGTGTCAGCCGCCCGAGGCGGAGGAAAATTCGCCGCCCCCGTATTTAGGTATCTCAATTTAAAAGACTAAAATTCAGTTTCGTCACAGAATAAGTAATGAAAAATTCCGTGCTCATTTCAATCGGTCCGAATCGTGGGTGCGACAAAAATATGAAATGAAATGGTTCAAATTTATATTATTATTATTTATTATGAAATTTTCCCGCCCCCTAAAAGTGCCGCCCTCACTACGCTACGCCATTGTAAAGCGCATCTATGTATTAAAACTGTAGATAACCTATTATGTTCGAAAAGCATATCGAAAAACAAATATATAAAAAAGTCGTGTTTCAAGGTCATTCTGTTTGGTGGATAATCCAGTATGATAAGTCCGTCTTTTGGAAAAGTGTGCTAACACGAAACACACAAAATTATTAAATATTGTTTAAAAAAATTCATGCAAAATTTCAAATCAAAATATTGCAGATTTAAACTTCTGATTTTATAACGTTCTTGTATTGTTATTTTCAAAATTACATTTCAGGCATCTAATTCGATAATGCAAGGAAACCTTCCAGGAATTATTGAAAATTTAAGTTCGATAATTCTTGACAAACAGAAAATCATTTACTCAATATGTCACCTAATAACGATGTGTAAACGTTTTTCATTCTTATTACATGGGCATAACTCAAATTCGGTTCGTTTTTAGACATACGTATTTTGTCCTCTTATTCTTGGATAATCTCTCTTAATTTAGAAAAAGAGTAAGCTAATGAGTTAACAATCAGTGGCGTACCGTAGTGGGGGCGGCAGGGGCGGCCCGCCCCGGGCGGCACTTTTTAGGAGGCGGCAAAATTATCTTTTAGTGGACGGCAAAATTTCACAATAAATAATAATAATATCTTGTAAAAATTTGAAAAATCTATACTGTACTTGCATCGCGCCTACGATAGTGCTATCGTTCTGTAGATTTTTTTTTGTTGTTGTTGTACGATAGAACTATTTTAAACAGGTCGCTGCACTACCACCGAATTTTTCATTGCTTGTTCTGTGACGAAACTGAATTTTGGTCTTTTAAATTGAAATACCTATATAAAGGGGGGCGAAATTTTCCTCCGCCCCGGGCGGCTGACACCCACGGTACGCCACTGTTAACAATCGCCCCGAGACCAGCTATAGGAATTTTACTGGTTAACAAAAACAAGACTCGTGCCAAAACAAAAACATAATGATACTCAATGATTATACTCGGGTTTCGTCATCCGTTTTCCTCGAATGCATTCCCATAATTAACTTTTCCATTATTATAACCAATGGTAGATTTATGATATTGAGCAGTAAGGCTCTTTTATAAAAGAATACTATGTTGTCTGGAATTTACTATCTTTAAAAAAAATGTATTACAATCAAACCTGTGAAGAATGGCCACCAACAAAAATGTAAGGTTCCAACAGAGATGGAAATATCAAGAGGGTCGAGGAATCGCGAATGGTCGTATGTGAGAGATCGGCACTGAGACAGACTCTACGGTTACAAGAAACCTTTTATTTGACACGAAAGAAACAAGATTTCTACGATCTTAGATTTTCTAAGTTGGCAGAGGTCTCTGGGTCTTCCTATCCTTTCCAAGATAATTCCAAATGAAAGTGTGTGAGGATTCGAATCTGTTCAGAGCCTCACAAAAAAAATATATATATATATAATGGACTTTATTTAGAGATGATCGTTATTACAGGTTCAACCATATATTTATTTTTATTTTTCTAAAATATAAATTTTTTTTATTGAAAGGCAATTGAATTTTTTTCTTAAAGTTAGCTTACACTTTAATTTGCTTCTTAATTAATATAAAATAAAATAAAACTGAAAGTAAATAAGCCTTATATAAACTTTTATAAGTATTGAATTATAAAACACCTGTCTTAATCCGGAATCCCGCGGTCTATTACATGATGTACAGTACAGTACGTCTCGATGGCCGGATGGCCGAACGATCAAGGTGGCAGCCTACCTCTCTGGGGGACCCGGGATTGAATCCAGACGGGTCAAGGAATCCCCAGGAATTTTTCGAGAGTGATCCGTTCGAATATATCGGGCCCCGTCCCTCACCACCCGGTCGCTCCATTGTAGGCCTGGTTGAACCCATAATGGGCCTGCTATAAGAGGCCCTCTTAGTGCCCACAGGACAGAAAAAAGTACGTCTTGCTTAATAATTAATTATTACAAATGCGTTTGTATTTAAATTACATTTATGTATTTTCGTAAAATTATACGAGAATAAACGGTTTGGATATTTTTTGTCGATATATAAGTTAATTAATGTTGAAAAATGGTAAAATGGAGGAAAATATATTAATAATTTTTTTTTAAATATGTCCTATTCATAAAATAAAATATTTTTATAATTAAGAGACCTAATTTGATTTTTAAATGAATGACGATTATTTTTCTGGTTTTTTTACACAACTGAAAGCGGTTGAACAGATAATCAAAATACTGTAATGCAACACGGAATTGAGTTGTTTTTCATAAACGAAAAAACAAAAAAATTTATTTTCTATCACGTTCTGGCAACACTTCAACGTTAACGAATCTCGACTAACCACGATTGCGACGAGATTGTTATCGTGTTTTAAAAACTTGTTTAAATTAAGGTAAATAATTTATTATTTGTTAACTAAATAAATTAATTTGTTAAATCCTGTTAATTAGGTAGTTAATCGTGCAGTTTAATTATTAAAAAAACTAATATTACCAAGAAATTTTTGTTAACTGAGATGCGCCCCCTATAGGCGGATGAGAATATTTGCTATTTAGTTTTACTGTATTAATGAATGGTAAAGCTAGTTCGTTGATTTCGTTTTTGTCGCTCCGAAGATAAACGATGGCCGAGAAAGTGACGCCAACTAATCAGTCTGCGTTATTAGAACAATATCTGATGCTTGCAAAGTTAAAAGGATCATCCGCTGTCGAGTTGATACGTCAGGTATTGGAAGCGCCCTCCATATACGTGTTTGGAGAATTGCTCGATCTTCCATCCATTCAAGAGCTCAAAGGAGGACCCGATGATGCTTATTATCAGCTTCTAAACTTGTTTGCTTATGGAACTTATTCTAATTATCTAGAAAATGCCGCCCATCTTCCACCTCTCACTCCTTCTATGGTGGCCAAGTTGAGACACTTGACAATAGTGTCTCTTGCTACTAAATCTAAATGCATTCCTTATTCGACCCTTCTAAAAGAGCTAGACTTAAAAAATTTGCGCGAGTTGGAAGATCTAATCATTGAAGTCATCTATGCGGATGTGGTCAGCGGCAAATTAGACCAGAAGAACAATCAGCTGGAAATAGACTACACCATCGGAAGGGATATCCGTGCCGACGATATAGATTCGGTGGTGGCCGTCTTGCAGGAGTGGTGCGATGGTTGCGAGATGGTGCTGAGCAACATTGAGACTCAGATAACGAAGGCCAACGCTCTGAAGGACGGACACGTCAAGCTGAAGCAGCAGATCGAGACCGAAGTTACGAATATTAAGAAATCGTTAAAGGCGCAGGCTCAAGATAGCGAAGATCAAATGGCCGGGGATATAAGAGATGGAAGTTTGTTGGATAAACCTAGTAGAAAACAGGCAAAGAGTAAAATTAGAGGAACTGGAAAATTTTGGCAGAAATAAATATTTGTACATCTGTATTTAGCATTCAGATTGAGAATTATTGCTTTACGTTAATAAAAAGATAATAATTTGATTTTGTGCAGATGTTTATTGAATTGTATATAACATAGAGCTGCCATATATAATTTAATCAAAATTTTTTCAGTAAAGTTATTTTGAACTTTAATTTTATAAATCTGTTACAGAGCTCATATTAATTTGTATTGAATTTTATCTTGTTTCAAAAATAATTAGTTATGATATTTTGTGATTTATTTTAAAATATAAACTTCTTTATTACAATAAATACTTTATTTAAAAGAAACTTGTGGATGATTAAGTAACAATTATCTTGAATTCCTACTCTAAAAATCTCTTATAGGAGTTTGTTAAAGGTTGTTTGTAGTATATAAGACAGAAAACATTAAAAAAAATGATTTTATTGAGAAAATCAGAAAATTTTGAAATATAAAATCAAAAATTATATCAGAATAGTAGTTATTGTGATAAATTTATACATTTTTTTCTTCAGGTGCAATCATGTCTGTTGGAATAGGTAAGATGAGACTGCGGAAGGAAAAGTCTGGGGAAGTTATTGCATACAGCGACGTGGCAGTGCGTCACAATGCTGCCATCCTCGAATACTGTCGGACCTCCATGTCCGCTCTCTCCGGTTGCACTGCTGGACTGCTGGGGCTGACTGCGCTCTACGGTTTCATCTTTTATTTTGTTATGGCAATAGGATTGTGGTTAATGTTTCTAATGAAAGCTGGAATGGAATGGAAGAAATATTTTCGAAGCCGAAGTGCCTTGCTGAGCAGTGGTTTGTTTGGTGGCATATTCACATACATTTTGTTTTGGACATTTTTGTATGGAATGGTTCATGTTTATTGAAAATAAGACATTATTAAATTAATATAATTATTTAATAAAAATAATTTTCACATTAAATAATTATTATATCTTATATACATATGTCCATATGATAAGTTTTGTTGGTGAACACATTTAAAATTGGGACCTGAATTGTAAATGCCATCATAAACCATTTTCTTATAAATAAGGTTAATGTAGGAAATAAATTTTCAAAATTTGTCATTTATGAATTTTATTTACTTTTAAATATTTTCTAACTTAAGCACAATTGCACTTATTTTCATATAATTCAAATATATTAAGATTTTGGAAATATTAAATTTGAAGTAGAAATGATGCAAAGTTAACTGAAATATAAATATATATACAGTAATACAAAATTGTTAAGTTTTAGTCTCCGCATGATTTAATCATCTCATTGCAGTAACACATCATCTTACTGAGAGTCCAGTTTGAATCCAATCAAGAGCTCATAATTTACAGTGGGTAAACATGTTGGAGCATTGTTCTCTGTTCTTCATACTGGCCTATAGTTTTTGTGTGTTAGTGTGTTGCATAACTAATCAATTGATCATGTTTGTAGAAAAACAAAAATAAAGTTTAATATAAATCTTAAGTTTCTATAGTTATCTTAATAAAACTTAAGTTTCTGTTATGGGAGAGACATAATTTAAGGTGTTCTTTAAGCATATGGCTGAAAGTATTTCAGATGTGTGTTATGCCTTCATGATCTGAAGAGCTATATAGAAGAAAGTTGTGTCATTTGCCTGTAAGCTTCAAGAAATTTATTTTAATTCTTATTTATTTTACCTCTGGCTATGAGGGAATATAGCAAAACCAGTGAAAAAGCTCACCCTTTGGCCAATTTCATGTTTAAAGAATTAATCATTAAGAAGTTTTTCATTCTAAGTAAATTTTTTATGAACTAGGTGATGATAACTTAAAATCAATGTTTTGAATGCAGGTGGTAAATGACAAGTTTTTACCCTAATAAAACATATAGTACATTTGAGTTTTTTATTCAAAAATGTTTATTATTTATTTCATTACATAAGAATGGGACATTTTAAATTTTGGAATATTCACAAATATTTTTTGAAGCTTTAACCAAGAAAAGAAAACTTTTTAAGACAGGACTGTAATTTTTAATAATTTTTTCTTACTGTAATAAAACAACTAGACATTAATTTCTGTTAGTAATTTCTTTTACTAACATTTCTTACAGCTAGGATTATCTGAGTCAGTTATTAACTTTACTTCAATTCATTTTCATGATAAGAAAAATAGTCCATCCTTACTGTTTATCAGAATGAATTCAGAATCATTATATAAAAACATAAGCACATTGATCTCCTGCTAAGTATTCATGATAAAATTGAAATTTTAGAGGAGCTGTTGTACTGACAGAATAAACTGAATCAAACACTTTACAAAAATCAATAATAGTAATAAATGGGATGTCTATAATTTTCATTATATTCTGTTATGCTATGCAATATATTCTACAGTTATGTTTCTCATTAGTTCTTTCATTAATTTCTGTTTGTTATAAATAAACTCAAAATTTTATATAAAATATAATATACAAAACAATTACTCCCTAGTTGCTATAGTTCAAAAAGTTGCATTGTGCTGACCATAAATTATTTACATAATGCAGATATGGATAGGTGGGTATGCAGGTATTAAAAGGTGTCAGAATGTTTACAAAAATGTTAAATAATGTTAGGGTCTCAACCCTTAGAATGATCCATTTTTGTTTTTAAAGTATTGCATAGCAAACTGTACTGTTTGTCACTGCTTTGTATTTTATACATGCAATGTTCCCTCTAATTTTTTTATAGCTATGCAGTGCAGAAATGCACCTGAGCAAAAATTTTCATACAATATTATGAAAATATTGTACAGTTTATTTAAATTGTTATAATTATAAGTAAGGACATTCATTATCATAAAAAAAATGTTAACAATAAATTTACACTTTACAGTTAGTTATATTTCTTTGAAGTTTTATCTTTGTGGAAGTCCATACTTTGTAGACATCATCTACATTTATGTCATACCATTAGTTAAATGCAGTTTGATTCTCATAAGGATACTTAAATGATTTAGTTGTCTATTTTGAGTTTTTACGTTAATTGATTTTATAGTGCTAAATCCTTGCTCTCAGTCTGCACTTGATGCTTGAAATATTCCAAACATCTCATTGAGAATGGATATGTTAGAAAACTAAATTTGTAAATATAAAATTTAAAGGTTATTGCAGTTTTAAATGATCCAGTTTTAACTTTTTCAGCAATTATAAATGTTAATTCCAAATATTTTTTTATTTTAAACAGTTATTTGTGTATAGAAATTAGGGTTGTCATAAATGTTTTGTACATAGACATCCTATTGTTGGTTGTGTGTGTAGGAAATAAAAACACCTATACAACTTTATAGAAGTCAGTGTGCATCTCTGCAGCTTAGAGGGAATGTTATATACATGTAATTAATAAAGTAATATTTGGTACCCATGCTATGTATTATTCCTTGGTACAATCGTAGCCTACAAAGAATAAACAAGCCTTCCCTTTATTCCATTCTTTGTCACCACTTTTGTGATTTTTCTTCACTAGAGGCACTGCATACTCTCCTATTATCAATTTATCATTGTAGAATTGTAAATTTGATAAAATAGGGGAGGATTTCTGTAAAATTAAAGACTGCATTAAATATTTGCTGCAGAATGGATTGCAGTATGTTCTAACAAGAAAATTCTCTTTGGATGGAATAGAGAATTTCTTCAGTTCTGTTAGACAGCTTGCAGGTAGCAATGATCAGATAAATGCCACTAGTGTCATCCAATCAATACATAGAAGATTAACAACTGGCATTATTAAGATTTCCCCAGCAGCCAACACCAAACCAACTTGTAATGTCTGGATGTCAGCAAGCAGAACAAGCAGTTCACTCACCTATACTGATAATACCACTAGTAATAGCAACAGAACTTCCATCCTTAGTTCATTTTCTACTACACCAAGCCTAAATAAACTGGAAGAATTACTAGAGAAGGAGTTGACGTGCATAGAATGAGAACCTTCAGAATGTGCTCAAACAAGCATTACTATAGCTAGCTGTAGTAATGCTTGTTTGAGCATATTCTGAAGGTTATCATTCTAGTAATGCCAGGAACATATGTAATACATATGTTCCTGGATATATAGTGAGAATTATTGAAGAAAAGGTTGACTGTGAAACATGCTTATGAACTATCTCTGCACCACAGTCCACCTCTCTTTTACTGACCCTCATCAATGGAAAAGACTGAGCTGGATTAAGCTATCCAAAGTCAAAGGTTGTTGTTCTTTTAAGAAGAGTTGAATATGCAACATGTGAAGCTACAGGTCACTTACACTACCCACAAATATCAAAAACATTGTGTGAGTTGTTTTTACCACACCTACAAAAAAATCCAATTTTGCAAGGCTGGGTAATCATATCAGTAAACTGGCCAGTCTAATACTGGGAAAATCTCAATATTAATATAATATAATCTCAATATTAATTAATATAATACTGGAGAAAATTTGGGAAAATTCTGCAACCATGCTTATCTGTCAGGTTAAATATGTAATTTTGAATATAAGGCCTTATTGGCCTTATATTCAAAATTACATATTTAACCTGACAGATAAGCATGGTTGCAGAATTAAAATATCTGGAAAGGGTAAGCATATTGCCCAATCAAGAAATTTATAAAAGTATGTAATTAAAGTAATATTAAATCATTATTATTGTAATGTATATAAACAGAAATAAAATACAAATCATTGTGTTAATATGTAATTTCTTTAATTTTTTGGAGTATGTCATAAAAAGAAGTTTGAATATAATGTTTAAACCATAACTTTCTGAATTTATTTGGTATCTTTTTCAGTACCTATAACAGGCAGGAAGTTTACATAAAAATTGACCAAAATATATTTATTATTAAATCAAAGCAATTAACATTGCAATAAGTTATTGTTTCAGGACTTCAAACATCACTTTTTTCATCATTATGGTGTTTTAGTATTCATAAGTAATGCCACCTTAGCAGCTTTCTTCTGTACTACAGTGGTGACAAAACTTTCATATGAAGGAGAAAAGTGGAAAGGCTTGTTTATTCTTTATAAGCTATGGTATAATTAAGAATATGCATTATATAATTTCTTATGTGCAGCAGAGTAATAG